TTTATTGATGATGTTGGGCGACAAAAGCGGGGTCCTGATGCAGCGGAATGGTTTAAGCCGAGATGATGATGATGATGAATATGCCAAGAAGTTGTGCTCTGTGATGAGTTGATGATCGCCTGATCTCTTGTTTGCTCTGTCTGGAATCTTCTGTTTTTTGTGTTAAAATTCAAACAATTAATTCATCTTCTACCTTTTTCCAGTTTAAACCATGTCCGACTCACCCTCGCCCTCTGCTCGCTCACTCAATCCATCCACTTCAGACCATCCGACAGTACTTCAACCACAACAGCCACCGACACACCCGCCAATCACTGCTCGAAGTGTCTCAGCTGAGGCTGCTCGAGCTAGGGCGATCTCCGGCTCACTCTCCCAACGCAAACTGAAACTCGAGGCAGCCTACAGCAAGAATCCTAACCCTAGTACTACTACTCCTACTCCTACCACTCCTACCACTCCTACTACTCTTCCTACTCCGACGATTAATGACCAACAGCTGCTCACTGTACTACTCAGTCCAACACTACCCATCCTCAGCAACAGTCAGCCCACCACCACCACCACCACCAACAAGACCATCAGCACCAAGAAGTCCTTCAACTCTCATCACTTCCTGCCATTAGCACTCAGGCCAAGGTTCACTCGCTCCACCTCCGACAGCTCAGCACCTCCAACCGACATCCAGCCTATCGACAACCCTAACTCAAACTCAACCAGCCAGCTACTCCCTCCCCACTCAGCAGACAAGACCAACAAAACCAAAGAACAACAACAAAGACCCTGGCTGATCTCATCCCACTCAAGCCCAGCCCATCCACAACCCATCAGCCTCTCCATCCTCCCACCAACACCCCAGCCCCACCACTCATCCTTCTCTCAGCAGAACATGCCATCCATCTCACAGCAACCACAACCTCAACCCATCTCATCCCTACCAGCCACAGCAGACCCTAATCTCCAGCAATCACCCCCACTACTACTACCACCACCACCACCACCACCACCACCAACCCAGGAGAAACGATCACGAGCCATCAGACTCACCAGCTCAATCCGAAAGGCTGGCAATAGTCTCAGTCCACGAACAGCAGCATCATCATCAACCACCAACACAGCAACACCCACCCAACAACGCACCCAGCGAACCAGCAGACTATTCTCGAGTAGATCTGCAACCACAGCTAATAACAGTAGCACTACCCAAACTACTACAACTACAAACCATCGTAACGATCAGTCTCCAGTCTCGCCTGCAACATTCTGCTGTAAGCTCACTTATCTTTCAAAAAAAGAAAAAAGAAAAAAAAGAAAAAAAGAAAAAAAAAGAAAACTGATTACTCTCTCTCATTAACATCTGGCAGCTGTCCCTATGACCCCCATCTCTCCCGACTGCAATCCCACTCAGGTCGGTGGTGATTCTTTATTGGCTCCCATCAACAACTCGACAACTCAGAATCAACCTACTGCACCTCAACTCATTCCAACACCCGCCCCATCCTCATCGAACCGAACAAAGAGCCAAAACGAGCAAGACCCCCAAATCTCCTCCACAACCTCACCTGATCCAACCGAACCATCTCAAGCACTTTCTCAGCATCCTTTGCCTCTATCCAATCCTCAACATCATCATCATCAACAACAACAACAACAACAGCAGCAGCAGCAGCAGCAACAGCAGCAACAGCAACAGCAGCAGCAGCAACAACAACAACAGCAGCAACAACAACAACAGCATCATCATCATCATCCCACTCAACACTCCAACACTTTCCAGATCACCCCTTCCTCCTCACCCACCATCCCCCCCTCTACTCCTTCCCTCATTCAAGACACCCAACAGACCCCAAGCCCTTCATCCGACCTTCATCATCAGTCATCCACCCCAACCGCCTCCAAGCATCACCCCTCTCAAAACGTTCTAACCATCGCCCTCTCAAAGGCTCAAACCGCCGTCCAACTCGATACTGCCCTTCAAATCCCTGAAGCTATTCATGCCTACACCGAGGCCGTCCTCTTACTCGAACAGGTCATCGATAACATCGATGTCTCGAGCAAAGAACGCGAACAGAAGGAATGGGATGGTCTTATGAACGATCAAGCTCGGGATAAGATCTGGGCTGAAGAGGTCTGGAAGCAACTTAATCAGGATGATCTTGATGACCTCGATCGTGAAGAACTCGAATCAAGTCTGCGCGAAAGAGAGCGTAAATGGCTAGATAAGCACTGGAAACACCAAAAACGTAAGAAGGCTCGCGCAGATGAGGAGGACCGGCTGATAGGCATCGTAAGTCTCATAGGCCTTGTCTTAACACCCTCGGCCATCCTCAAAATCAACTTATTTGCTAATCATCTACTACCTTCAGCACAACACTTATGCCAGTAGGATTGCTGAGCTTCAAGCCGAGATCCTTTCAAACCACCATGCCATGTTTCATTCGGACCAGTCTCCCGACTCATCCCCAACGCGTGGTTGGCCTAAATCTGACGAGCAGGTCTGTCCACCTCACATAATCGTCTCTCTTACCTCACTTGGAGAACTTCAATTCGAATCTCATCTTCCTTTCCTCTTTTGATCATCATCTCAGCAATCACCACCAGTAAATTCTTCCAGCCACGGCCAACCACCATTATCAGAAACTGGGCGTAAATCATTCAGCTCCGATTCTACTACCCGGGAAGGTATCCAGTCCCAACACTTAGAGCTTCCTTCAACTCCTCAACGTGCCAACCATCAGCAAGTATCATTGGCTTCGTGTGACCCAGAATCGTTTCGCCAATCTCGTGAAATTGCAGAGGAAGAGAAAGATGTGGTCTCTGAGAGACTCCCGCATTATGGTAGTGTGAATCCTCAAAACAATCGCAATCGAGCCTCTAGTAGCATCTCCGGCGCAAGTCTTTCTCAGCTTGGAAGGGCCCAGTCCAACGAAAGTATGACGACCAGGCGGACGAGCGTTTCTTCTACTGTCTACAATCTCGATCAATCCAAGCCTACCCAAGCAGCCAATGAACCACAACTTGAATCTTCCCATGCCAGAAGCCGAAGTTCGATTGATCCTCGACCTACTTCTCGACATTCAGCCAGACTTTCGGATGCTACTATTGCTTCCATCAGACCCGAAAGTCCGCACGCAGCTAATCAAAACATTCGACGTCAACCTTCTCAGAAGTTACTCGTCAGCCAGACAACCACGCAAGGTACGATAAGCCAGCGGCGTCGCAGCCCTAGCTGTGTTGATACCACTCGTCGATCTTTATCAAGATCACAAGGTCCCCCAGAAACCGGTACCATCTCATTCACACGACCCACAAACTCTGATTATTCATCTTCAATGAATCGGAGACCCTCTAATCTTAGCTTGATGGGCACCGTGCCCTCAGCAGCGATCCCTCTACGGCTCCGCTCCTATTCACAACCTGGAAAACGACCTGGTTTGCCGCCTTCATTCATTGCTGATGATAATACGCCCCCGGTGCCCAATTCACCCCTACTATCTGGTTCATCAAAAGGTCCCATCCCTCGAAAGCCTTCCTCCCTCGCACACTCAAACACCCCACTCTTAGGCAACAGCAATCATGCTACTTCTCAAGACTCCTCCCAGTCAGCAAGGCCAGTCTCTCAACTCTCTGCCCCGGGTCCGAGTCCTTTGAGCCATGTTTCCTCCATACCTGCAAGTCATCACAACCGGGGAACACACAGATTAGAATCTCAACACACTCTTCCTACCTATGAGATCCAACCTTACGCCCATGCCTCACTCTCACCTGGCTCGATGTATGCTGGAAGCGCAGCCCCAGTAGGATCCTTGCCTACCTATCCGAAAATCCCCGCTCGTCGACCCTTCCATCTGATGCGACTGATTCGGACGTCGATGTCCACCGGTGCTTACGTCTCCCCACGACTCTACGTGCCCCGACAGATGTGGTACCAAGTGCAGGTCAAGCTACATGGGCTGGAGACCAAGATCAAATTGATGGATACGCTTCTAGCTGGGCTCGAGTTAGTCGAACGAGACGGAGCTGGGCTAGTCGGAGTTGAGATGCCAAGCTCAGCCACTAAAGAGCCTGTCTGGGATTTCGCCGAAGGCCGGAAGCCTAAACCGACGCTATCCTCTCAAGTCCTGACGGCCACCGAGAGGTTCATGAAGCGACTTGAGATCTTTGAGGAGTTGCTCGACAATCTCCAGACCGGCGGAGCCAAGAAACTCGGACTCAATGCTGCCGGAGTCCAAGAGACTGCTTATGGTCAAGACACCATGCGCAAAGGTGGCGGTTTTGGTACATTGATGGCCCATAAACTTGGCAAAGGTTTAGATCGGATCACTCTAGGACGAGGGTATGCAAATTCCCTTCTATACGATCGACTCACTATTCACTAATCCTGCCCCCCTCCCCTTTTTTTTCCCCTCAATTATTAGAAATGCTGATCTTCCGACACTATATGTCGACACGATCGCTCGACTGTTTGACAAATCACAAGCAATCGGTATGCCCGACTTTTCACATCCGCGTTAACCTATCCTTCTTTTTGGATCAAGAGATGAGACAGTGGCTGACATCTGGTGTTTAACAAATGCTGTCTATGATGTACATATGTATACATTAAAAAGATGCACATTTAGCTAGTTTAGACCTTGCCGCCCGTTCCCAAGGCAATACCGCCGGAGCAGGCATGTATAGCGCGATCGGTCAACAGTCGAAGCAGCACATCGAAGGCCGGCTGCGCAGGGTATCAGAGTTCTATTCGACCGTCGTCTGTCGGTTCGTGGTCGCAGATATGGGTGTGCTGCTTGATGTGAGTCGTCCACCAACCCCATCCTCTTCTGGATTACTCACTCTCTTGCTTCGGTCCTGACCCTTTTCTCCCTCCCTCCCTTCTCGGCACGATTTATTATCTAGAAATACGTCAAGAGAGGTGGCAATTGGTGTGGTGATTGAGTAGACTAAGTGGGAATTGTATCAACACACATCTTGTAAATATACATATCTGGTGATCATCTTTCTCTTATTATTATTTATTTATTTATTTCCGTCTCTTATGGTTTACACATTTACGATGTTAGTCGGTATTTACACAAAGGGGGGTTTTTGGTTTCTTTAGAGGAGATTCAATCCGTTTTCTTCTTCTTCTGTCAACGTATTCTTTCATATATAGAACATCCGTTTGGGTTTCCTGCTTTATTTTTTTTTCCTTTTTCTTTTTTTCGTGTGCGTTGTATTGTGTTTGTATATGTCAATTGATGAAATCATCTCTTTTCTCTTTTGTTTTGTTTTGATTTAACACTTGCTCTAGTCTAAATTTTACATGAGAATTAGCTACATTTCTCCTATTTTACTTGTTTAATTCAGCAACCATTACAGTTCTGCTGAGGTGTTTGTTTGAGTGAAACAAGAACCATTATGCAAGGCCTTGTCTGCTACAGCAGTTCCCAGAAAGCTTGCTGTCGCGAGCCCCTGGGATCCAGTTTTTTTTTTTTTTGTGCCACACTTTTTCTTTTATTTTTTGTCCTGTATGTGGGCTCATACAGCCACAGTATTCTAGGCATTATGGCCCAACTCCCACATTATTCAAGTTGAAGATTTGGGAGTTGGACCATCGGAATCCTGGCAGTTTTTTGAGCTGGAAACGGTCATCACACTGGTGCTTCACCTCCCCTTGCCAGGCAACAGCCGAGTGCCCAGAGCCCGATCAAGGCCTCGGCAGCCGATTTGCAACCTGTACAGTCATGTGTACAGGTCCGAGGCGCAAAAAATTGTGGCAAAAAAAAAAAAAAATCGGGACCCCAGGAGCTCGCGAACGCAAGCTTTCTGGGAACTGCTGTACCTGAGTGATAAGCATAAATTGAAGTATTTCCCAAGTCCCAGGGCTTGGTGAGAATTGTCAAGGGTATGAACTTGGTAATCCTGGGGTAAGCTTTGGCCGGCACCTCCTCAACCCAAAATTGATTTAGAGCCTTGCAAGCTACATTTAAGACATTTTGTATATAAATCAAGATATGCAAGGGTTGCAGATTTAACAGTAAGTCTGCTGGTGACCAAACATAACACATCTCCCTCCAAGGAGGGTGTACAAAACACAACCTCTGAACAATGGACTTATGCCTAAGCAATCAAGTTTAACAGGGTAGGAAAGTGTATGTGGGTGCTTACAGCTCCCTACAGCATATGGGGTGTAGTATCAACCTCCATCAACAATTTCCTTCACCACTGGCTCTGTTATTTGTTATTGTGTCAACTATTCAATACAGCACAATACAATATTGTTATTTTTTATCTATTGGACCTTGGATTGTATCATTGCTACAATACAGCACAATATGCTACAATACTGAGTGTGCCAGGTCAAAAACTGTTCAGCATACACAAAGTTGGAGCCTATTGGGCCATATCTTGACCCAAAATATATCATAATGATGTTGGGCATCAAGGCTTTAGACTTGATACAATATCAATACAGAACCAAATAATGTGGTTCCCCCATCTGTTATGGCTAGCATGAGGCCTACAATCACAATATGAAGACAACACTTTATGTTTCATGCAAATTGCAATTCATACATTACAACAGCCCATTGTTGATTGCACACATCCCCTTATTCAATGGGTTGTATGTAGCCTGTTTATGGACACACAGCACCCAAAGATATCCAAAGAAAGGCCAGCTATTTTGGCCACCATTTTATTTCTTTTCAGTCCCAGATTTTTTGTGCACTGCTTGAATAAATCAGACAGAGGGAATACTGGTTGAGAAAAGGGAAAAGTAGGTTCACTTTCTACCACCAAACTGGTTCTTTCCAGCCATAGTCTCACCAAAATGGGAGCTCTCATTTTTATCTTTTCTGTCATGGGTATTACAAGGAAGATATATGCACGTATTTGAGTTTTTTTTTAGAAGAGATTGATCAACAAACCTGACTTCCATGATGCTGATCCCTAAGAGCATCTCCAGCAGAGTGGGGGTGGATTGGACTGGTTTTGGCAGGCTCACTCCAACTTTCACATGGACTAGCAGGTCTCTCACCTGATGTTTCTTGACCAAGGGAACCTGGAGTGGGAAGGAACAATAGCCAGCCTGGACCAGATTTTTAGCAGGTCTTCTCCAAATTGACCAAGCACCTCCTACACAGCAACAAAAGACAGAGGTAATTTGGTCACCATTGATGTCTTCTGGGCCTAAAAAAACCCCCTTGATACCTGTTTGACAGGCTCAAGTTATTTAATCTTGGTTGAGCCCAATCAAAAAAATTCAAAATAGCCCAATAGACCCCTGCTCTGCTGAAGATGCTCCAAAGTCTGGGGACAAAGGGTGGATTGAAGCCTTAAGTTTTAGTCTCAAGTTGCAAATTAAGATGATGTAGCAGCATTGCATCTTGAACAAAAACAGATAATGTTCACAATCAAGTTTGAAGCATGGGTGCAGCCAACGGTGCCACAGATACGAGACATGTATTTGTATCGGATCGGATCGTATTTATTTTGAGCCTGATACCGGTATCAGTATTTCCTTGGTTGGTAAAAAAAATACATTGTATCGGATTTGGATTTAAAAATGAAAAAAAAAAAAAATTCGTCTTCGTTTTTTTCGTTTTTTCTTCAATACAGCCAAGTATCTTATGTATCAAATACGGTTTTGGTGGGATCAGTCATCTGAGACGGTACAGAATACATTTCTCACTTTTCAAATACGATACATGTATATGTCTCAGGAAAGTGAGACAACACAAATCCGGTATTTTTGGGTATTCCAATTCTGAGACGATACAGATAAACACCTGATACCGTATTGTATCGTCTCTGTGGCACCGTTGGTGCAGCTCACAAGGAGTTGAATAGATCATTTTTTTTGCATTCCATTTGCTAAACTCTTACTACTTAGGGAGACCCTCTGCCTCATTACTCCAAGAGTATCTGATCCTCCTTGGAACACTAGAAAATCAGATCAGTCTGACCAGAGGCAGGATAGGGAAATCAAACAATTCCCATTGTCCTTGTTAATCTTCAGGGGTCACTCAGTAATCATGAGTTTCCAATGCTTGAACCCTCTTAATCTGGTTTGGACAGTCATTTTGTCAGATATTGAAGAAAGGTTATGAAATTGGAAAGATCTTTTTATCAAAAAGATATGTAGAAGAGATGAAGAAAGTGGTACAATGGCATTAGATCCTATCAAACAAGCTATGTAGTCCTCTCATAATGTACAACTTTCAAAGATTGTTTGTTTGATTTTGTGAGGTCCGCCTGTTCAAGTAGTGTTCAGCCAGGTTTCACAGCTTCATGAAGCCTATTGCTTCGGCTGCGGATTCGATCGTCTTCCCGCTGAAACTCAAAAAATCAGCTTGATCGTTGCGACTGATTTTTTGTGTTTGTTTGTGTCCCGCTTGCTCTGCCGCGCCTGATCGAATCCTCCGCTGTTTAGATACAGACCCTCGTAGTCCTGCAGCTCGTCCAGTTCCCGTTGTCTCGCTTGCCCCGTTGTCCCGTCGACTTCTCAGCTTCCTTTTACTCTCTCCCACCAAGTCCTTCCGTCCTCTGCGCCACTCTGTCTTTTTCTTCCCCTCTCGCCCTCCGCCCCTTCTCCCACCTCGTCTCTCCCCCTTCCTGCCTCCTTCCTTCCTTCCTGCTCTCCCTTCCTCCTCTACCAGACCCTCCTCATCTGAGAACCCGACAAGTTCGCACTGCCTATCAGTATCAGCTTCCTCCCTCCTCTAACGACTTCATCTTCTTTCTGAACTCCTAGACCTCTGTGGTAGCGAAATCAAAGGTAGTCTCTCATGGCTGC